GATCCAGGGGGCAGAAATTTGGGATTTTTTTTCCCAGTTTTTCCCATTTTTCCCGGTTTTTTCCTCACATTTTGAGGGCTCTGGTAGGAAGTCAAGGATTGAAGGTTGAGGAAGGAATCCCCGGGATTTGGCATCTGAAATGAGCCAGAAGAAGCTGGAAAAATCAAAAAGATAATGAAAATATTGAGTTTATAAAGGAAATTTTGGGGAGGGGTAAATGGGTTTTTTTAGGGAGATGGAAAGGGGAATAAAAGGGAATAAAATGGGAATAAAATGGGAATAAATGGGAATAAAAATAGGAATAAAATGGGAATAAAAGGGATTTAGAAAGGGAATAAAAGGGAATAAAAAGGGAATAAAATGGGAATAAAAAGAGGAATAAAATGGGAATAAAAGGGATTTAGAAAGGGAATAAAGTGGGATGAAAAAGGGAAGAAAAGAGAAATAAAGGGAAAATAAACAGAAATAAACCGAAAATAAATGGAATTAAACAGAAATAAACAGAAATAAAGGGAAAATAAATAGAAATAAACAGAAAATAAACAGAAATAAACAGAAATAAAGGGAAATAAAGGGAAAATAAAAAGAAATAAACAGAAATAAAGGGAAATAAAGGGAAAATAAACAGAAATAAAATGAAATTAAACAGAAATAAAGGGAAAATAAACAGAAATAAAGGGAAAATAAACAGAAATAAAGGGAAAATAAACAGAAAAGGGAAAATAAACAGAAATAAAATGAAATTAAACAGAAATAAAGGGAAAATAAACAGAAATAAAGGGAAAATAAACAGAAATAAAGGGAAAATAAACAGAAATAAACAGAAATAAAGGGAAAATAAACAGAAATAAACAGAAATAAAGGGAAAATAAACAGAAATAAAATGAAATTAAACAGAAATAAAATGAAATTAAACAGAAATAAAGGGAAATAAAGGGAAAATAAACAGAAATAAAATGAAATTAAACAGAAATAAACAGAAATAAACAGAAATAAAAGGAAAATAAACAGAAATAAAATGAAATTAAACAGAAATAAAGGGAAATAAAGAGAAAATAAACAGAAATAAACAGAAAAAAACAGAAATAAACAGAAATAAAGGGAAAATAAACAGAAATAAAGGGAAAATACACAGAAATAAAGGGAAAATAAACAGAAATAAACCAAAAATAAACAGAATTAAACAGAAATAAAGGGAAAATAAAGGGAAATAAAGGGAAAATAAAGGGAAATAAAGGGAAAATAAACAGAAATAAAGGGAAAATAAACAGAAATAAACATAAATAAAATGAAATTAAACAGAATTAAACAGAAATAAAGGGAAATAAAGGGAAAATAAACAGAAATAAAATGAAAATAAACAGAAATAAAATGAAATTAAACAGAAATAAAGGGAAATAAAATGAAATTAAACAGAAATAAACAGAAATAAAGGGAAAATAAACAGAAATAAAGGGAAATACACAGAAATAAAGGGAAAATAAACAGAAATAAACCGAAAATAAACAGAATTAAACAGAAATAAACAGAAATAAAGGGAAATAAAAGGGAAATAAACAGAAATAAAGCGAAATCACCGGAATTTGGCGAGGAAGCGGCGGCGGCGTCCGCGGCGCTTTTGGCGGCGTAAATATTCGCCTCCTCCTGGAACTTGCCCATGTTCTTCTTGTAGCGGATCCTCTTGTTCCCAAACCAGTTGGAAACCTGGGAAAAATCCCCAAAAAAATTTGGGAAAAAAAATTCCCATGGGAAGGAGAAATTCCCCAAAATATTCGGGGTTTTTTGGGGGTTTTTTGGTTTTTTGGGGGGTTTTTTTGGGGTTTTTTTGGGTTTTTTTGGGGTTTTTTTCAGTGAGAATTCCAGGGATTATTCCAGTGAGAATTCCAGGATTTCATTGATAATTCCAGTGAGAATTCCAGGATTTCAGTGAGAAAATTCCAGGATTTCAGTGAGAATTCCAGGGATAATTCCAGGATTTCATTGATAATTTCACAAGGAATTCATTCCAGGGATTATTCCAGGATTTCACTGAGAATTTCACAAGGAATTCCAGTGAGAATTCCAGGATTCCAGTGAGAATTCCAGGGACAATTCCAGGATTTCACTGATAGGAATTCCAGTGACAATTCCAGTGAGAATTCCAGGATTTCATTGATAATTTCACAAGGAATTTCAGTGACAATTCCAGGATTTCACTGAGAATTCCAGTGAGAATTCCAGGATTTCAGTGAGAATTCCAGGGATTATTCCAGGATTCCAGTGAGAATTCCAGTGAGAACTCCAGGATTCCAGTGAGAATTCCAGGATTCCACTGAGAATTTCAGTGACAATTCCAGTGAGAATTCCAGGATTTCAGTGCTAATTTCACAAGGAATTCCAGGGATAATTCCAGGATTTCACTGATAGGAATTCCAGGGATAATTCCAGGATTTCATTGATAATTTCAGGGATAATTCCAGGATTTCACTGCTAATTCCAGGGATAATTCCAGGATTTCACCGATCATTTCACAAGGAATTCCAGGATTTCACTGATCATTTCACATGGAATTCCCGTGAGAATTCCAGGATTTCACTGCTAATTCCAGGGATAATTCCAGGATTTCACTGATCATTTCACAAGGAATTCCAGGATTTCAGTGATAATTTCACAAGGAATTCCAGGGATAATTCCAGGATTTCACTGATAATTTCAGGGATAATTCCAGGATTTCACTGATAGGAATTCCAGTGAGAATTCCAGGATTTCACTGATAGGAATTCCAGTGACAATTCCAGGATTTCACTGATAATTCCAGGGATAATTCCAGGATTTCACCGATCATTTCACAAGGAATTCCCGTGAGAATCCCAGAATTCCCAACAGAAATTCCAGCCACAATTTAACTTGGAATTCCAGCAGCAATCCCATAAGAATCTCCAACAACAATTCCAAAATTTCTAATTAAAAATTAAAAATTTCACCATTAATCCCAAGAAAAATAAAAGCTAAAATTTCCTGCTTTTAGCAAAAACCTAAATTTTTATTAAAAGGCTGAAAATTGACCCAAAATCCCGGGAATTTTTCCCACCTGGGACACGGTGATTCCTCCTTTTTTGGCGAGTTCCTCTTTGGCCTCTTCGCTGGGGTAGGGATTGCTCAGGTGAGAATAAAAATATTCATTCAGCACCTCCGTGGCTTGTTTGCTGAAATTTCGCCTTTTCCGCCTAAAAAATGAGAAAAAAAATTAAAATTAATAATTATTAATTCATTAATTAATAATTTATTAATAATAATAGCATTAATTGATGTTATTATTAATTAATAATGGTTAATAATGGGGTTTTGGAGGTGCTAAATTAATTTGTTAATTGGGAAAGGAGTTTTTAATTTGAAATTAATTGAGTTGGTGGTAAAGGGAATTTTATGTGGGTGGTGGTTGGGTTGGTAATTAAGTTTATAAAGGTAAATTTAATATTTTATGTATTTTCTATGTAATTTATATATATTTTAATAGTATTATATATATTTTATAGTCTATTTAATATGTTATATAATCATATATAATTATAATTATGTATATTGGGTTGGTAATTAAGTTTAAAAAATAAATTTAATATTTTATGTATTTTCTATGTAATTTATATATATTTTAATATATATTATATGTATTTTATAATCTACTATGTTATAAAATCATATATATTAATTATAATATAATATAAACTATAATATTATAATATTAATTAAACTTTATTAATTTATAATTATACAATTAAATATTATTTAATTGTATAATTCGATATACAATCATTTAAATTAAATAAAATTAATATTAAATGTAATAACATTACTCGTGTCAGAACATTTACATTAATATGTAAATATTCAATAAATTAATACTAAACCAACCAAAAATACCCAGATTTTTCCATCAAATATCCACGTTTTTCTACCAAAACCCACATTCCAACCCGAAAAATTTGTCTTCCCACCAGATATTGACATTTTCCCACCCAATATCCATATTTTCCCACCGAAAATTCAGGTTTTTCCACCAAAAATTCACATTTTTCCATCAAATATGGACATTTTCCCACCAAAAATTCACATTTTTCCACCAAACATGGACATTTTCCCACTGAAAATTCACATTTTCCCACTGAAAATTCAGATTTTTCCACCAAATATGGACATTTTTGCTCCAAATATGGACATTTTCCCACTGAAAATTCAGATTTTTCCACCGAAAATTCACATTTTTCCACTAAAAATTGACATTTTCCCCCCGAAATTTCACATTTTTTCACCGAAAATTCAGATTTTTTCACCGAAAATTCAGATTTTCCCCCAAAAATCCGTGTTTTTGCCCCCAATATTGTTGTTTTTTTGGATTTGTGTCCCACCTGGCATCGAGGAACCTGGACCTGAGGATCATGACGGCCTCGCAGGTGCTCTGCTTGAGCTGCACCTGGATGGAGCCGAACTTGCCGTGGATGACGCCCTCCCAAAAATACCCAGGTTTTCCACCAAAACCCCCATTCCAACCCAAAAATATCACATTTATCCACCAAAACCCACATTTATCCACCAAAACCCACATTCCAACCCAAAAAAATCACATTTATCCACCAAATATCCACGTTTTCATCAAATATCCACATTCCAACCCAAAAAAATCACATTTATCCACATTCCAACCCAAAAAAATCACATTTATCCACCAAATATCCACGTTTCCCATCAAATATCCACATTCCAACCCAAAAATATCCACGTTTTCTACCAAATATCCACGTTTTCCACCAAAACCCACATTCCAACCAGAAAAATTTGTTTTCCCACCAAATATCCATATTTTCCCCCCAAAAATTCACATTTTTCCACCCAATACCCACATTTTCCCACCGAAAATTCACATTTTTCCACCAAATATGGACATTTTCCCACTGAAAATTCACATTTTTTCACCGAAAATTCACATTTTCCCACCTAAAATTCACATTTTTCCACCAAACATGGACATTTTTTCACCGAAAATTCAGATTTTTTCACCAAATATGGACATTTTCCCCCCGAAAATTCACATTTTTCCACCAAATACCTACATTTTCCCACCGAAAATTCAGATTTTTCCACCAAAAATTGACATTTTCCCCCCGAAAATTCAGATTTTTTCACCAAAAATTCAGATTTTTTCACCCAACACTGGTTTTTTTTTGGATTTGTGTCCCACCTGGCATCGAGGAACCTGGACCTGAGGATCATGACGGCCTCGCAGGTGCTCTGCTTGAGCTGCACCTGGATGGATCCGAACTTGCCGTGGATGACGCTGACCATGCGCTCGATCTCGCTGGCGGCGATCGGCCGCGTGCGGCTCTGCTCCCGCAGCAGGTTCAGCACGTGCGCCGTGAACTCGCTGCAGGCCTGCCCTCCACAACATTCCCAGGATTTTATAAATGAAAAAAAAATTGGGAAAGTTAAGAGGGATTCGTTAAAAAAATCAAAAATAAAAAATAAATAAAATTTTAAAAAAATTAATTGATGGCGTCGTCGTTAGGAAACGGCACCGAAAATGGGATTTTAGGGTGGGGGTTTGATGGGGTTTTGTTGCCTTGGGTGGTTTTTGTTAATTTTCCTTTTGTTTCCTTTGGTTTTTAAAGGCTTTTCTTTTATTTTTGAAGAATTTTCTTTGGTTTTTGAAGAATTTTTTTCCTTTAATTCCCACGGATTTTCCCTTAATTCCCATAGATTTTCCCTTTCATTTTTCCTTTAATTCCCACGGATTTTCTCTTTAATTATTCCTTTAATTTCCACGGATTTTTCCTTTTAATTTTTCGTTTAATTCCCACAAATTTTCCCTTTAATTTTCTCTTTAATTCCCACAGATTTTCCCTTTCATTTTTCCCTTAATTCCCAAGGATTTTCCCTTTAATTTTCCCTTTAATTCCCACGGATTTTCTCTTTAATTTTTCCCTTAATTCCCACAAATTTTCCCTTTCATGTTTCCTTTAATTCCCAAGGATTTTTCCTTATAATTTTTCGTTTAATTCCCACGGATTTTCCCTTTAATTTTTCCTTTAATTCCCACAGATTTTCTCTTTCATGTTTCCTTTACTTTAATTCCCACAGATTTTCTCTTTCATGTTTCCTTTAATTCCCACGGATTTTCCCTTTAATTCCCAAGGATTTTCCCTTAATTCCCACGGATTTTCCCTTTAATTTTCTCTTTAATTCCCACGGATTTCCCCTTTAATTTTCTCTTTAATTCCCACAGATTTCCCCTTTAATTTTCTCTTTAATTCCCACAGATTTCCCCTTTAATTTTCTCTTTAATTCCCACAGATTTTCTCTTTCATTTTTCCATTAATTCCCACAGATTCTCCCTTTAATTTTTCGTTTAATTCCCAAGGATTTTCCCTTTAATTTTCTCTTTAACTCCCACAGATTTCCCCTTTAATTTTCTCTTTAATTCACACAGATTTTCCCTTTAATTTTTCCCTTAACTCCCACGGATTTTCCCTTTAATTCCCAAGGATTTTCCCTGAATTCCCACAGATTTTCCCTTTAATTATTCCTTTAATTCCTACAGATTTTCCCTTAATTCCCATGGATTTTCCCTTTAATTTTCCCTGAATTCCCACTGATTTTCCCTTAATTCCCACAGATTTTCCCTTTCATTTTTCCCTTAATTCCCACAGATTTTCCCTGAATTCCCACGGATTTTCCCTTTCATTTTCTCTTTAATTCCCAAGGATTTTCCCTTAATTCCCACGGATTTTCCCTTTAATTTTCCCTTAATTCCCACAGATTTTCCCTCTCATTTCCCCCTTAATTCCCCTTTAATCAATTAATTCCCCCTCCTTTCACCCCCACCAACCCCAAACCCCT